TTTTTTTTTTTTTTTTTTTTTTTTTTTTTTTTGTCTTTTGTCTTTTTCCGTGTCCGGCAACGGATCGCAACCCTCAGTGTTGCCCCCGTACCGGACCGGGGACCAGCAACGGGATTGCAACCCTCGGTGTTGCTCCCGCGCCTCGCTCAGCCAGTGAGCGGGAACCGGTCTGTATGTGGGATCCGAACCCTTGGGCGGGAGCGCCGCCGCGCTTCCCAAGCGGCGCACTTATCCAGTGCGCCACCGGGCCGGCCCTGATGTTACATTTTTATAGTCATAAATTGGTTGATTTGTGAGAAAGAGAGTGACGCTGGGAACCATCTATTCCACCATCTTGACCAGAACTCCCATTTTGAATGTTTAGTGACTTGTTTTGTAAATTGATGAAACTGATGAAAATCAAAATTCTTATCATTAGAGAGAAATGAGATTGGTATTAATTGACTCAATTTCTAAAGCTCTAGGGGTATACAACAAGTTTTGCATACTTCGGAAAATTCTGGTCACATTTGGACTCTACACTTGGATGATTGATATTAGCATATCAGGGTTGCAGGAGGCCTTGGTACTTGGATTTAAAAAAAAAAAATCATCTAGGGCTGGCCCGTGGCTCACTCGGTAGATTGCGGTGCTGATAACACCAAGGCCACGGGTTCGGATCCCATATAGGGATGGCCAGTTGGCTCACTGGCTGAGTGTGGTGCTGACAACACCAAGTCAAGGGTTGAGATCCCCTTACCGGTCATCTTTAAAAAAAAAAAAAAATCATCTGTAAGCATTTATTAGATTCCTAGTATGTGTTAAGCTCTATACTAGGTGTTGAGGATAAAAAAATTAAGAAGACATCATTCTTGCTCTCTAGGCAATCAGTCTAGCTGAGCTTAGTAATATGTTACGTTTACATGGCATTTTAAAATTTAATCTAATTCCCCATGCATTATCTCATTTAATCTTTACTGTAATACTCTGAAGCAGATACTATTGTCCCCATTTTACAGATAAAACACTTAAAGTTTGGGGAAGTGAATTTGTCATACTTCAGACAGACCATATACCCTAGACAGAGTGTAGTCTTATTTTTTAAACACAGAGTTCTTTCTGACATACTGTGTGAAGGTGTTTATAGGTATTTTTATTCCAACAGAATACAATAAAAAAAAGATAGACTGGTTCAACCAGAGAAGTGAACTGTTATCTTCCTTCCTCCAACAGGATGTGATTGACACAGCATGTGAAGTCCTGGCAGACCCTTCTCTTCCAGAACTGTTCTGGGGAACAGTAAGTATGTCATGTCAGAGGGAATCATGTTGAGACATTCTTCGGAGCAAAGTAATTTATCCCTTACTTGGTGGTAGGTTCTATACTACATATAGATTTGTATATTCTCATTTAATCTTCCCAAAAATCTATAAAGTAGATACTACATAGATGTGAAGTGATTTGCCCTAGGTCACACAGCTAGAAACAGCCAGCCAGCACCCAATTCTTGCTGACTTGTGCAGCCCAAGCCATTAACCAGTGTGTTAACCTATCTTACCTGCCACGTCTTTTTTCACATTATCAGTTTCTTAGGCACCAGTATTCTTGCAATTCTTGAAAGTACTCTTAGGGGACTGTAACTGTATCTTGATAGTTGTCAGAATACTGTAATTTGTTATAGTGAGAATCTGGCTTTGGAGGGAACAATTTCTCACCAGTACTTGGTCTTCGCATTGAAAACAGGCTGAAATCTTAAGGTCAAGCTGGTAAATAAATCTGTTTTCCCTTGTACTATAGCCTTACTGATCTGTCTATATGTATTACCCTCTTCTTCCTGAGATGCTATCCAGTCTTACAGAACCACAGTGTTCCTGGGAGAAGCTGGTATGAAACAGTATTTAGATTGAGGATCTGTTGTTCATCTATGGTGTCTAAATGCTGACATATTTGTTTTTGGGTAGTTTTCACTTTAGTGGAAACAAATAATGCAAAGGTGAACAATGCTGTCTTCAGATAGAAAAGATGGCTGGGAAGAGGTCACTGAATAGAGTAGCAGCCTCTTTTCAGGTCCGGACTGATTGAGTTGTTTGACATAATTTTTCAAGAAATACGAAATATGAAAATATGAAATATGGAAATATGAAAGTCTTAAATTATTAGGGAGGGATGATATCTGCCTAAAGGAAGGATTAATTTTAGATTTTCCTATGATTTCTGGGCAATTCAGAGATAAGTAAATTTGTGGATAATGTAAAGATCAGAGGCTTTTCCTCTTCCACCATAGGAGCCAACCTCTGGTCTTGGGATCATTCTGGATAGTGTATGTGGAATGTTTCCTCATCTCCTTTCCCCGCTCCTGCAATTGCTCCGAGCCCTTGTATCAGGGAAGTCCACTGCCAAAAAGGTAAGTTGTTTAGTCAGATGCCTAAAGAGAATTAGAAATACTTTTCATTCATTATTATTTTTCATTCATAAAGGATTCATTATGAATCCTATTGGCTTTTCCATGTTGAAATTCCACTGCCATGACAAGTTAGTCTGAAGTTGAATGGAAGATGCAAAAGATAGTGCCTTAATTCTATAACATTAAAAAAAATCTTTTATGGAATACTACTCAGCTATAAAAACGAATGAAATACTGCCATTTGCAACAACATGGATGGACCTTGAGAGAATAATATTGAGTGAAACGAGTCAGGCAGAGAAAAAGAAATTTCACATGTTCTCACTCATTGGTGGGAGCTAAAAAACAAACAAATTAATTCACCCACATACACACACACAAAAAAAACGGGGGGGGGGGGGAAGAAGATATAACAACTATACTTTTATGAAGTTGTTACAACAAGCAAACGGAAAGGACATTCTTGGGGGGAGGGGAGAGAGGGAGGAGGGAGGGAGGTGTCGGTGATGGGCCATAATAATCATATACATTGTATATTGACAAAATAAAAATTTAACGAAAAAAAAATAATAAATAAATAAAAATCTTTTTATACTGTGGGAGTAAGACTAAGTATAAAAGTTGCTTAATATCTGATTGAAGAGAATACTAGATTTAGAAATAAATAAATAAGGCCGGCCTGTGGCTCACTTGGTAGAGTGCGGGGCTGATAACACCAAGGCCACAGGTTCGGATCCGATATAGGGGATGGCCGGTTTGCTCACTGGCTGAGCGTGGTGCTGACAACACCAAGCCAAGGGTTGAGATCCCCTTACCGGTCATCTTTAAAAAAAAAAAAAAAGAAAGAAAGAAATAACAACAACCAGGTGGTACATAGTAAATGTCATTTGAGTAGTAAAGACCATACTCAAAAGAGTGTTCAGGAGAGATAACCATCTCTGTGGAGTGAAGGGAGACTTGAGATGGTTGTTAAAGAATGGTGATGATTTGATGAGGAGAGCAGAAGGCAATTCTAAGAAGAGTCACAGTGGTGGGCTTGTAAGAAGTTTGACAGTCATCACATACTCAGTCTGACTGAAAGAGCAGAAGAGCAGATGTGGAAACTCTTGCATGTCCCATAGGTGAATGTGTCACTGGATTTCTTTCTGCATGTTGGCAGGTGTATAGTTTCTTGGATAAGATGTCTTTCTACAATGAACTTTATAAGCACAAGCCCCATGATGTGATCTCCCATGAAGATGGAACTCTTTGGCGGAGGCAAACACCCAAACTCCTTTACCCACTTGGTAAGAAAATGAGATCCTTGGTAGCCCCTTTTACAGCATCCTCTATTTAGTCCCCATCATTGCTGTTTAATTCTATTATGTAAGGTGTCTTTAATGCAGTTTCTTCTCTTCACCATCGGTGTTGATTCATTGATACATAGAGTCAGTTTCTCTCTTTTTAAATTAACTTTTTACATCATTAGATTGTTTTATTTTAAAAATACTGCATGTTTATTATAACAAGGTAAACAACACAGAGGTATATTTTTATAAGTCAATCTGTCTTCAGTCCTGTCTCCATCTGATAATCAATGTTAAGAATCTGGTGTATGGGACAGGGTACCTGACGCAGTCCCTTCCCCCACAGGAAAAAAAAATAGAATCTGGTATCTGTTCTTTCACATATTTCTGTATACTCTCACAAACTTCTTCTGCAAGTTGATTTTATTACATATGGCTCTAACTCATTCTTTCTAGTAACTATATAATTATCCTTGATGTTTTATAATTTTTTCTTTCTTCTTCTGAAGGACATTAGACTGTGTCAGGGTTTTTCCACTAGAAACAGTGCTGCATTGAGTACATGGTGCTTTTATTTTTAGTAGATAGAATCCCCAGAATGTGATTACTGGGCAAAAGGGTATATACACAATACAAATTTTGAATAGATGCCCCTTGATAGATGAATGAATAAACAAAATGTGGTGTATACGTATTATGGGATATTATCCAGCCTTAGAAAGAAAGGAAATTCTGATACGTTACAATGTGGGTGAACCTTGAAGACATGCTTAAAGTGAAGTAAACCAGTCATAAAAGGACAAATATTGTGTGATTGTGCTCATATGAGGTACTTAAGGGTAGTCAAATTCATAGAGACAGTAGAATGGTGGTTGCTGGGGGTTGGGGGAGGGAAGAATGGAGAGTGAGTGTTTCATGGGTACAGAGTTTTAGTTTTGCAAGATGAAACAAAGTTGTGTGGATGGATGGTGGTGGTGGCTGCACGACAGTATGAATGTCCTTTATTGCCACTGAACTCTACACTTAAAAAATGGTTAAAATGGGAAATTTTATGTTATGTATATTTTACCACAACTTTAAAAATTAACAATTAAAAATTTTTGAGTAGAGTTAAGTTGTAGAAAAAGGTTGTAACAATTAATTTTCCTGCTGGCAGTATGTAAGAGTGACCAGTCACCACATTTAGGCTCATGTGTATTCCAAGTGTTCAAAGAGCAATATATAGAGGAACAGACATAACTGTTCTAATCCTGGTATCACCACTGACTCAGCCAGTGGTCTAGGCACCAATAGTCCCATGAGGTGGTCTTCCTGTAGTCATCACATGAGTGGAAAACCACTCTGCACTTAGCTGATTTTCAGACATCTGAAAAGAGTCACTTCTCCAAATGATAAGAGAGATTTAGTTTTTGTAATGGAAAAAACTGTAGGAATGTTAGCTCCTAAGAAGAGAGTCTAAATAGCTCTGTGTGAGTAAATATTGGTGTATGGTAGAGGAGTCACCTCTTCCTAACGTGTCCTCAGAAATTAGACCGATTTCTCTTCCTCCCTTCTTCAGGAGGTCAGACCAACCTTCGCATACCTCAAGGCACTGTGGGCCAAGTAATGCTGGATGACAGGGCTTACCTGGTACGCTGGGAATACTCCTATAGCAGCTGGACTCTCTTTACCTGCGAAATTGAAATGCTGCTTCATGTTGTTTCAACTGCAGGTAAGGTCAGCTTTGGGAGACATCACTGTGGGGAGGAGAGAATGGACATGCTTGGAGGGTTTGGAGAATAGAATTTCAAGGTAAAATTCAGATCCATCAAGATTGTGATTTGTCTGATGTATTTATCTGGGTCTCAGAGACTGTTCAGTAATCTGAAAGAGTTGTTTGCCTTGAGGTCACAGGCTGTCTTTTCCCCTAGATGTGATTCAGCACTGCCAGCGGGTCAAACCCATCATTGATCTGGTCCATAAGGTTATTAGTGCAGATCTGTCGATAGCAGACTGTCTCCTGCCCATCACATCCCGCATCTACATGCTGCTGCAGCGGTGAGTCTCTCATAGCCAACTCTTAGCTATGTGGCAGAGCTCTCAGCAGGAATTCTCCCAGTTTTCAGAAGCCTGGCTACACACACACTGGGTTAAGGTCCACACATGTTTCTCTTTGGGAAGGCCTGGTGTGATACCTGTCTCCAGCTGAGGGTTTTCCTATTTATATATCCCTGCTGAGAGGAGGGACTTGGGAAGAGAGAACTGGAAAATATTTTTGATGGAACCAATTCATTTGATTGAGTGCAGTGCACTGTTCTCCAACCAGGTTAACGACAGTGATTTCCCCCCCTGTGGATGTCATTGCTTCTTGTGTCAATTGCTTGACTGTTTTGGCTGCCCGGAATCCAGCAAAGGTGAGTCTTCCCAACAGCCAAAAAATGGAGCACTTGGTATATACCTGAAGATATGTGGACATTTAACTCTTTTTTTTTCCCTTCTTAGGTCTGGACAGATCTTCATCACACAGGTTTTTTACCATTTGTGGCCCACCCTGTCTCCAATATGAGTCAGATGATTAGGTGAGCCAGGTCTGTGGGTGGGTAGGCCATATTCCCTAGTGAGAATCATATGATTCAGTTCTAGCCTAGCTTTATTAGTGTATATATATTTTTAATAACAGGACAGTTTACTACTTATAGATCCCAGAGAAAAGAGAGCAGCATGTCTTGCATCCTCACTGGGAAGGGAGGAGCCATCTGAGAAAAGCAGGGTCAACCAGCAAGTGGAGAGCAATATAGAGAACAAGGAATCTGTGGTCCAGAGTCTTTATTGGAGTCCAAGTATTAGCAGGTAGATTTCTTTTGAGGAGTTTTAATTGGTGAGTTTAGACCAAGCAGGCGTGAGTTTTGTGCAGTCATGCTGTGACTGAGAGGTTGTCACTATGACATGTCCACCCAGTGTATGTGGACTGTGGAGGTCAGTGGGGTAAGTCAAGTAGGTTTTATCTGATAGCTTTATTAAAGAAGCTTCTCTATCACTAACTCTGTGCACTCCTTGCCTGTTCAGCCCTCTGATCAGAAATAGGAGAGTGAGTAAAGGACAGGCTAAAGGAGACGACGGGACACCAGGCACAGTGCTACTCTTCTCTCTTAGGGCAGCACTGGTAGTTCACAGTTTTTAAGCCTTAGAGAGAGAGAGAGTGAGAGAGAGAGAGCGAGAGTGGTTTCTCATCCAGCTGCGACCACTTTAAATATGTGGGAGTTTACTTCCCAGCCTAGAGAATCTAGAGGTGTTTGGATCTAGGGATTTGGCATCCCATTCTTAAGGCACATATACTCTACTTTTCCTTGTTTTGAGGGTTCTTGAGCTCGCCCAGTAGACCAGCTACCATACACAGGATCCCTCCTACTACCTTAGCATTCTTACCTTGCTCTCTCTTGCTTATAAGACAGAGATGTTTCCCTGATATTCATTTGATTTTTCACTTTAAACCTCTTGGGGAAGTATATCAATAAAACCTGTTCTTAATGTTTATGATGGGTATAAAATTGCCTAGATTTGATTAATTCCCTTGCAGAGCTCTCCTGTTTTATGCCTGTAACATCTAGACAATAAGAAGAATGTTCTGTGATTACAGTTTTTTGAAACCTTGAAATTTCCCCATCATTTTTTGCCTCTGCTTCTCTGTCTTTTCCCAGTGCGGAGGGAATGAATGCTGGAGGGTACGGAAACCTCTTGATGAATAGTGAACAGCCCCAGGGCGACTACGGGGTCACTATTGCCTTTCTGCGCTTGATCACCACCCTGGTCAAGGTACAGTCTGGTCAGATGATTCTGAAATAGTTTCCCTGTTCCTTGCTTCTGTAGTTATCTTGAATGTAGGCAAAACAGTTGACCTGAAGTTATGGTGATAACAGTTTCTATGTACTGAATACCAACTATGTGCCAGTTTGTTCTGTAGGAAATAATTATGTGAACTTATTTAATACTCAGAAGGCCTATGAGTTAGAACTGAAGAGGCCATATGGGTAATGCAGTGACTGTCAAGCTGTTTTGACTAGCCCAGGATAATATGTACATTTTATATCATGTCCCAGTACACACAGATGTGTTTGTATACTCCTGAAGCGGAGTTTCATGATACAACATTTAGTCTTCCGGTATAATGTGAACTCAGGTATTTTCTATTTAGTTCCTTTTTTTTTTTTTTTTTCCCTTTTTTAAGTGAGTTGTGACCATAAGCTGATCTCGTAATCCACTAATGGATCACAACTCAGTTTGAAAAATACTGATATGGAGCATGGATTTTGGAGTCAGATAGAATTAGGTTTACATTTCAGGTTGACCACTTAGCAGCTGCATCTCCAAGTACAGAGTCTCTTATAAAATGGGAATGATACATAGACTCTACTTCATGAGGTTAACAGGGCTATGTATGAAAAGCACTCAGCACACTTCCTGTCTCAGAATCAGTGAATGCTTAAAAGAGAAACAAGTGTATATAGATAGAGATATATAGATGTTTATATATAAAAAAAGAGTTCTGAATTTTAGGATTAGGAAACTGAAGTTAACAAATACTATTAGGACAAAGAATTTTTTTTTTTTTTTTTTTTTTTTTTTTTTTGAAGATGACTGGTAAGGGGATCTTAACCCCTGGCTTGGTGTTGTCAGCACCACACTGGCCAGTGAGCGAATCAGTCATCCCTATATAGGATCTGAACCCAAGGCCTTGGTGTTATCAGCACTGCACTCTCCCGAGTGAGCCATGGACTGCCCCTAGGACAAAGAATTTTGGATATCACATCTCCTTTCTTGGTATTCCAGTGATGGGGTTGAGGTTAGGGATGGCTGTTGATCATGAGAGTGAAGCTGGTATTCTTTATCATCGATAGTTCTATATCCGTTATGTTTAAGGTACCTTCTGTCCAGATTTAACTTTCATCCCTCTTTTTCATGTAGGTTCCTTTTTTTGGTGTTGTCATATTGTCTTTTTAGTTGCTTTTTCTATTCTAGAGAAACCCACAAACTCTCATTTGAAGTAGAGTGTTCTGATGTTGTTTTTTCACTGATTGTCAAGGTTTGTCCAGATTTCATTTGGACCTATATATGGTATTGGAGTTAAATCTCTAGAATCTAAATGACTCTTCCTTAAATAGCAGAAGCCCTCACAACATGAGTTTCTTATAGGGGCAGCTTGGTAGTACCCAGAGCCAAGGACTTGTGCCCTGTGTAATGTTCGTGCTGAAGGAGATGCTTCCCAGCTACCACAAGTGGCGCTACAACTCTCATGGTGTGAGAGAACAAATCGGTAAGGACAGCATGGGTAGGGAAGACCTGGGCAATTTATGGCTCCTTGGAGATCTTCTTTCTCTCCTTGTCTTGGGAAAAGGGTCATCACACAAGGCCGCATTATTCCTGTGTCTTTTCTCGAGTCCAGGTTGCCTGATCCTGGAGCTGATTCATGCGATACTAAACCTGTGCCACGAGACAGACCTGCACAGCAGGTAATGGAGGGATGATTACTAGAGCTTGGTGCTTACCAAGGGAAGTTATGGGCTTTCACTATGCGAAGCCATCTCATTTCTTCCAGAGAACTCACCTTGGTTGAGCCCAGAGCTCAGTAATCTTTGAGGTTGATTTGCTTTCCACTGGCCTGTTTATCATTTCTCCCTGTGGAGAGAGAAGAGCAGATGAAGTGGGAGTGAGATTTTGTATATGTGTGTACTCTTATATATTCATCATTTGTTATGACCTTTCCAAAAGTTATGCATATTTATTGGAAAACGCTCATTCAGTGCAAAATGCCCTTCATAAATCAAATTCCTAGAGATGACTCTTGTTAAGAAGTTAGTGTGTATTCCAAGTTTTTTTTCTCTGCCTATACTGACTGCTCTGTGACTTTCTTTCCATGCCACTATACATAGATCTGTCTTGTTTTAATGATTTTGCACATTCCTTTGTATGGATTAATCACGTTTCATTTCAGTAAATATATGTGTTAATTGATGGACATTGAGATTGATTCTCATGGTGGTCTTTAGGATCAAGCTTTTTTCAGGAAAGCGATTCAGAGTGCCTTCATCTCACAGAGAGCTGTTCTGTATCACCAGTGTCCAGTTGGCTAGATCTACCACCCTAGCCCAGCTGGACAATGCCCTTTCCTTCCAGTGATCAACTTGACAGCTCCCTAGTAACTTAGAACATCTCTGTCTTTCAGTCACACTCCCAGCCTGCAGTCTCTCTGCATCTGCAGTCTGGCCTACACAGAAGCAGGACAGACAGTTATCAATATCATGGGCATTGGTGTGGACACTATTGACATGGTGATGGCTGCTCAGCCTCGAAGGTAGGGCTCTGTCTCCACCTTCCCCCATTTTTCTTTATTATGCATGCATGTTCTAAGAATTCCAGTTTAAGTTAACTTGCAGTAGCTTTCTTAAGACAACCTTGGGGCCGAGCCCGTGGCGCACTCGGGAGGGTGCAGCGCTGGGAGTGCGGCAGCGCTTCTGCCGCGGGTTTGGATCCTATATAGGGATGACCGGTACGCTCACAGCGCTCACTGGCTGAGCGCGGTGCCGCCGGTCTCAAAAAGGACAAAAAAAAAAAAAAGACAACCTTGTTCTTCCTAGGATACAGGCTTTATGTAACTTAGTGGCTGCTGTATAGACTGGTACATAGTAAAAGGAGTTGATTACTCCTCCTCTCTCCTAGTTTGGACGGGGGCCTCTAACAGAAGCTGTTGAACCCTGGGATTATTGTTGGAATCTAATTCATGAGAGCACATATATTACAAGTGAAGTCATGTTGTCTGAATCAACTTTGGTTTCCATTTGGCACCCTAGTGATGGGGCAGAGGGCCAGGGGCAGGGCCAGCTGCTGATCAAGACAGTGAAACTGGCATTCTCCATCACCAACAATGTTATTCGGCTGAAACCTCCTTCTAATGTGGTGTCCCCCCTGGAACAGGCTCTCACACAACATGGTATGTAGTTTTCTTCCAATCAGCAATATTTCTGCCCTGAAGTATATATTTTAGGCAGTGTTTTTGGACAGCAATGGTATTTTTTGATTAACTCCTTGAGGAAATATGGGAATGATTACCAGCTTCTCTCCTGGACTTAGAAACCAGAGGACTGGATCATACTTTATTTCTGCCTCCTATTAATGACAGAATAATAGTTACAAACACAAGTTCGAAGTCAGACTGCCTTGGTTCAGATTTTGGTTCCAGCAAGCTATGTGACCTTGGGCACATTATTAAACAACTCTGCCTAAGGTTTCTCACCTGTAAAATGAAAATAATAGTAGTACTACCTTGTAAGATTACAATGAAGATTAGATAAATTACTACACGTAAAACATGTAAAGAAGTTCCTGGTAGCTATTAGGTATTGGCTAGTATTACTCTGTGACCTTAAACTAGTTATTTAAATTTCTTTGAGACTCAGTTTCCTCATTTTTTAAGTAGGTGTTTGGATAATGTCCAAGACCCTTTCTAGCTATATAATTTTGGGGTTATAATGCTTTTTTTTGCATTTCAGTGCAATGCCTTTTTCTAACCTATTAGTACTTATTTTCTCCTAAATGTATTTTTGCTGTTAATGAATTGAACTGTTTATCTCCACATCCTGGCTATCCCTTTGCTCCTGAAAAAAAGAGAATGATAACCTGGGTTTGTTCTGGCACTCCAAGTGCTTGAGGGTAAATTCCCTCATATTTATGAGCTTTTTTGAACAGCAGCCTCTTTAAGAGCTTGAATGAGGTGTATTTGGTGGGTAAACTGTTTCTTGTGCTTCTTCAGGTGCCCATGGGAACAACCTCATTGCTGTTCTAGCCAAATACATCTACCACAAACATGACCCTGCTTTGCCACGTCTTGCCATTCAGCTGCTGAAACGTCTGGCCACGGTAGGATCCCACTTAAATAACCAGAGACCCAGGAAACTGACTCTGCTTGAGACCACTCTTGCTATCTCCTAAGAGAAGGAGCTAGCTAACTTAAACACACATATAAATATGTGTTTATATGAGGGATTTTTTTCCTAATCACGAAAGACATACATGCTCATTATAAAATATTTGTTTAGGGCCGGCCTGGTGGCGCACTGCTACAGTGCGCTGCTTGGGAAGCGCAGCGGCGCTCCCACCGAGGGTTCGGATCCCACATACAGACCGGCCGCTCACTGGCTGAGCGAGGGGCGGGAGCAACGCCGAGGGTTGCGATCCCGTTGCTGGTCCCGGTCCGGTACGGGCGCAACACTGAGGGTTGCGATCCGTTGCCGGTCACGAAAAAAGACAAAAAGGAAAAAAAATATATATATATATTTGTTTAAATATTTTAATAATATTTGTTTAAAAATATTGTTAAAATATTTGTTACAGATAATTGTAACATAGAACATTAAGGTACCCTGTGATCCCCTTGTTTCAAATATCCCTAAGGGCAGGTTGGTACACATTGCTCCAGATTTCTTCTTATCTATGTTTATGTATTATGTAAAGGTGTAAAGGAGTGTGTACTTTTGTTGTTTACAAAAGTAGAATTCCACTACACAATCTGTTTTGTGACTTTCTTCATTTAACACCATATCACGCAGTCTTTCCATGTGGCACATTGGAGCTAGTTTGTTTTCTCTCTCTCTCTCTTTTTTTTTTTTCTAAAAAGATGACCGGTAAGGGGATCTTAAACCTTGACTTGGTGTTGTCAGCACCATGCTCACCCACTGAGGTAACCGGCCATCCCTATATGGGGATCCGAACCCATGGCCTTGGTGTTATCAGCACCACACTCTCCCGAGTGAGCCACGCGCCAGCCCCTAGTTTGTTCTCTTAGATGTTTGCAGGGTAGGCTGGCCAGTTACCTCAGTTAGTTAGAGCACAATGTTATAACACCAAGTTCCAGGGTTCAGATCCCTGTATCAACCAGCTGCCAAAAAATATATATATATATATAAAATAAAATAAAACAGAAAATGCTTATAGGGCATACCATGGAATGGATACATCCTAATTTATTTGGGGTATTTTTGGTCTTTCACTATTATAAGCAGTGCTGCAGTGAACATTATTATGCATAGAACCCTGTGAAGTTTTGTTTGCAGTTTCTAAAAAAATAGATAGGTATAAGTGAAAATTTAAATTTTTATTAAATATTTCCAAATTGCCCTGCAAAAAAGATTGTAATAGTTTATACTTTCTGGTGTTTTTTTTTTTCAGGTGGCTGGCCAGGTATAGGGATCAAACAAAAAAACCGTGGACCTTGGTATTATCAGCACATGCTCTAACCAACTGAGCTAACAGGCCAGCCCCCCGTA